GACATGGAATGTCCGCACTATGTACGAGATTGGCAAAGCTGCCCAGATCGCAAACGAAATGAAAATATACGGAATTCAAGTACTGGGGATATGTGAAAGCAGATGGAACGGGAATGGACTCACCAAATTGTCAACGGGGGAGTCAGTGATCTACTCCGGTTACCCAGAAGATAACCACTCGCACACCGAGGGCATGGCTATCATGATGTCACCAACAGCAACGAAGGCCCTGATGCAATGGGAGGCGATCTCGCCCAGGATAATGACCGCCAGATTCAACTCCAAAGGAAGGAAAGTGTCAGTTATACAATGCCATGCACCGACAAACAACGCAGACCTCGAAAAGAAAGAAGAATTCTACAGACAACTACAGGCAACAATGGACAATACTCCAGTTAGTGACATTAAAATACTAACGGGAGACATGAACGCCAAACTGGGACCAGACAACACAGGAAGGGAACTCATCATGGGTAGAGAAGCTCTCGGAGAAATGAATGAAAACGGAGAACTTTTCGGTGACTTCTGCACCTTCAAAGAACTAGTGATTGGTGGCAGTGCATACAAACACAAGGATATCCACAAGGCTACATGGGTGTCATCAGATGGGCGAACTACAAACCAAATCGACTTCATCTCAATCTCAAGGAAGTGGAGGCGCAGCCTACCGGACACGAAAGTAAGAAGAGGAGCAGACGTTGGCTCAGACCACTATCTCGTTAAAGGGACAATCCAAATCAAATTAAAGGCTTGCAGAGAAACGGGAGCTGCAGATAGACCACAGGCTAAGTTCAACACTCAAAAACTGAAGGACCAGGACATAAAGGACATCTTCACTGCAAGTATAAAAGACAAAGCCGAGACACAAATCAACACTGGCGAAGAGGTCAGCGTCGAAAAGCACTGGAACAACTTGAAGACAGTATGGAGTCAAACATGCATGGAAGTTCTAGGCAGAAAGAAGAGACAGGACTGATTGTGAAACAAATAGGCAGGAAGAAATAGAGATGGATTGGCCATGCTCTGAGAAAACAATCAAGTGACATCACTAGACAAGCCCTCGAGTGGAAACCGAAAGGGAAGCGGCGAGTTGGTCGTCAGTGCAAGCGTGACTTGGAGGTAATGTGAAGAGGACATGAAAGCGTGTGGGCAGACTTGGAGCCAAGTGAAGAATCTAGCAGAGAACCGAACGCAATGGTGACGCACGGCTGAAGCCCTATGTTCCTCTGGGAATTAAAGGAAACTATAATAATAATCTCGTTGACTTAAAATATTCAGATGATATAGTCCTCCCACCTGGATGAAGACGTTGACAAAATGCAGTGTTCTGAACGCCCTGAGCTGCAATCTACGAATGTTTGGCATGCGATTTGCCCCCTCTATAAAATGTAAAATGATGCTACAGGATTGGACTACACCGACCCCTAGATTAGAAATAGGCAGTGAAGTGGTAGAGCACGTTGACCACTTCACTTACTTGGGAAGTACTATCAGCCAGTGCCAACGGATTGATCTCAGACGAAATCTCAGCACGAATACAGAGGTCTAGTTTCGCATATGCCAGTTTACGCCGTCTCTGGCGTAGACGTGATATCCGACTATCGACCAAAGGGCGTGTGTACTGCTCAACAGTCCGCTCCGTCCTCCTTTAGTGCTGTGAAACCTGGCCATTGACAGAGGAAGACATGAAAAGATTAGCTGTCTTTGATCATAGGTGTCTGCGTTCTATCTCCTGTGTGAAGTGGTATAATAAGGTGAGCAATACTGAGGTTAGGCGTCGAGTGCTAGGTAAGGAGGGGAAATCAATCGACAAGGCTGTGAAATTACATCGACTGAGATGGTTAGGACATGTGCTACGTATGCCTAGTCATCGCCTTCCTCGACGGGCAACGTTAGCTGAAATAGGGTCAGGCTGGAAAAGAACCAGTGGTGGCCAAACCAAAACATGGCTTCACCAGTCAATGAAATCCACAACAGTTAGTTTAAGCCGCGTGGGAAGGTGTAGACTTCCTGGTTGGAGTCCTCAGGACGGTAAACACCAATGACTGGAGACAATCAGTGACATGGCTCAAAATAGTTTTCAATGGCGCAGATGCATGCACTCCTTGTGACTTATAATACCCAATGAAACTACATTGTTCTTCGTTATTACTATTCCTTTTTTCTCATATCCCTGTTTACTGTCTCTAATTTGCATTTCTTCCACTTTCTCTTGCTTTTTGTGCTACATGGAGTGTGTCGACTTGAAATCATGAACTGTTTGGTCGTTGCTTTGAACCACGTAATCTGTCTGTCTGGGTGAGAATCAATGGCTGCAAATTCTTCTTAATGGTATACATGTATTCACTTATTGTGATCTCACATACCTATGAAATTGTCATTATTCTGCATCCCGTAGATTTCCATTCACTATAGTGTCGCTGAAAATCCACTTGACTTGATGATTAGTGTATGGATTTTTCTGTGATAAATACATGAGGATCAGCTTGACTAATATAGTAGCTATTGTATAAGAGTCAATATTCATACAAAAACTGAAGGTAACTAAGAGATGAAAATCCAAGACAACCAAGAAGGTTTCGGTCACAAAAGTGGATTGATTGGTAGAAACTTCAGCTATTGAAACAGAAACAATCGGTAATCGGACATTCGATTTATTTCATGATGTGAAAGGCAGCTTTAATCACATGAATTGAGAGGTTTGTTGCCATTTCTAGCTAGCTGGTATCAATGGATTTGTGAGCAACTGATATGAGAACAAAAGCCTTACTGAAACTCGGGCAGTTATGTCGGCGTTTAATGTCATATGAAGTGAAGACAACCAACAGTATTCGTTAGAGATGCTGTGTCATCGTTCTTACTGAATTTCATTGCAAACACACTGATGGGAATGACTCAGTCGACTTCAGTGTCTTAGGGATTCACATTGTACTAGGGAGAAGTTAGTCTGATTTGGTGTACACCGACGATATACTCGCTTCAAGTGAAGACGTTGACAGGGTGTAATATTCTCAACACTGAGTATGTTTGACATGAGACTGTCAGATGATGATATAGGAGTGGTGTGTGCAGACCGCAAGTTTAAGGGAAGAGATTGAATTGGTTGAGCGTGTTGGCCACTTTACTTATTCGCAAGGTTGCATCAGCCAATTGCTGATGAAAGCTCAGCTGGACTACTCTTTGATGTGACATTTTGGCCTTAGTTTTTTGTGGGGTAGCAGTGGAATTTTGGACATGTTTTGGGTTGTGTCAATTGTTTTCCGCTTTCGATAAGTTTTGTTGATTTATTATGGGAGAAAGTAGTGTCTACTTTTACGCTAGTGGATTTTAAATATAATTGAACTTAGATATGATGGTATTCTTTATAAAATGATTATGGTATCTATTTTTTAGGGTTTTGAATAAGTGTTCATTGTTACGGTATGTGGTTTTGCAGATAATAGGGGAACAAATTTGAGTTGATTTTTTTTATAAAGTGTAGCACGAGCATCGAATATTAACTCCCTTTTAAGACGTCGTTTATTAATATTTTTCATGACTTTGCCTTTTATGAAGAACATGGGTTTTAGTGGAAACGATATCGCTTTTGCTAGCCTTGTACTGAAACTCCCTGCTTTTGCTGGGTTATTATTATCCCGTAATAAACTGTGCAAGGTTTTTTCTAGTTCGTCGGACCTTCAATGGAACGCAGACCAAGCGGTTGGCTGAAGAATCATCAACAATTAACTTAGTGTCTAATAATCGAAAAAAAAACAAAACAGTAACTACTTCAATTTCAATGTGAATATTTGAGATTTTTATAAACAAACAAACACGGATCAGTAAAATTCAACCGAGAAATTCATGATTTCAGGTAGAATTCACAAGTGCACAGTTTGTTTTTCATTAATTTTTAAAAATGACCGGTTACTGAATAAACATGACCAAAAAACACATGAATAAACTTTCTGAACTGAAAGATTACAAGAGGGGTAGATGATGCCGACGACAAATCGATGTTTTCCCCTGTGAAGAAAACACTGACAGTAATAGTAACAAAAAAAGGAGACAAAATAAAATGACGCAAGGCATAATGATGACTACAAGTAAAGTAAAAGAGGAGTTAGTTAAGTAAGAGAAACAGAAGAAAACTGTATATCACAGTAAATTTATAAGATGCTTTTTCAAAAAAAAAACGTAAAACGAAGAAGATTCACACACAAATACAACATAGGATGTAACATGCAAGTTTAAAAAGGCCATCATCATTGTATGTAATATGAATAAACGCCACAAAAGGGAGTTCTAGTTAATTAGAAGTAAAAAAAAAATTGACAGTTGTGTGTAAGTCAATGTTAAATATTACAGTAAAATAAAACGCTTAACAGCGCCGGGGCTGTAACAAAAACGATGAATATTAGACGAAAATGAAAACACTAGAAAGCACGTGTGTGTATATTCCACTAGGTTAGATTCTTTTAAAATATGAACTAGAGGACCAAGAAGAAAAAGTGTTTACGTTAATTGTAGAATAAAATCATTCGAATCAATCGACGTCAAGTGGATTGCAACTAAGGGAAATTACAAAACTACCATGCACACACATACATACATACAAATATAGAATTATAAAGTGTCAGCAAATTAATTACAAATTGATAGTGATGTATCAGGGACTGGTGAACTGGAAATAATAAAAATAAGTATTATAATTATTATCATTATTATTGGTTTTATGTTAATAATTTGATGAATATCATGTTTGTAATAAGATGATTGGAAAAAGACCACGAAACAATAATTCAAATGAACTAAATGTACATATATTATTATAAGAAAGGGGAATAATGCTTTTCTTTAAGATAATGAAGACGTTTATATAAATATCAGATGAAGAAAGTAATAAGAAGTAATAATATTTATATGTTTGAGATCTTAATTGAAAAAAATAAATTATGTAACAATGAATGTGTACATACATACATACATAATGTACGATAATAAAGATATTAATAGATATATCACATGCTAGTAGGTAGTGCCCATGATATAACACTTTTATCTGCACTTGAGGTAATAAATGATAACTGAGTTGGATGCCAACGAGCTTGTATAATTTTATCTGCATGCTCTGCCAACTGAACACAGGGCAATGGTTGAGACAAATCACCTAAACATTGGGTTAGATAAAGGTAAGTAAACACAGTAGGGATATATATATATATATATACAGGTTAGGTGAATGTATATGTAAACTTATGAACACTGAGTGATCATGGTAGTGAACTTTATACCTAAATCAAAGTCATGGACAGTGACAGGTACATAATCACCAGAGAACGAATGAGGGACGTGTTTATGAAGAAACAGTTCTGTCCTGAGATTGCGAAGTATCATATATTAGTAATTCGAATTCTCACCCGTTGTTCTATGGTACTGGTTTATTCCCACAGACAAAGAGAATAACAAATTTCAAAAAGTGCTTACTCACAAGTTTAAACAGTGTTTATTTAAAGATAGAGAAGTCTGGCGGTCAGAACGTGTGTGTATGTGTGATGGAATAAGTGGCTGTATCTGGCGATAGTCAGAAGCAGTTCCAGTTCATCCGAGCCATCGGCAGCAAGAAGCATGGTGTCGACGAGACTCGTCTATGAGGCAGACGGTACGCCCATCGCCAAGCTGAAACACTGGGCAGAACAATTAGAGAGATGCTCACAAGCGACTGTCCCGTTCAGGCATTTAACGTGGGGTTCTGGTGGGAACACGTGACCAGTAGGATGCAGTAGGTTGAAGGTAAGGCAGAAACTCATTGAAGGAGACATTGAGAAGTGGTCGCGCTATGTCGTGCGTGAATTGGCATACGTTAGAATTCATGGGCTGGTCATTAGATCGGGTCCCAGTGGCTTAATTGTCTAGTAGCTCACTAGCACTGTAATCAGAAGGTCCTTGGTTCGAACCCCCTATGGTGGGTGCGTACTGTGAAGAGTCCCACACTAGGATGAAACATATGTCCAGGACTCCCTGTTGGTTTTCCAATGGTTCTCTAACTAATGTCAGCCCATGGTGAAATCTTCCAACCAAACCTTGAGAGATAGCTTAGCTGACCAACAGCCCCAGTCTCCAATATCATCAACATCCACAAATCGAAGTAGAGGTCTGAAAAGGATTCGAAGTTTTAGAGCGCTTAAAGGCACCCCTGGCTCTTTTCAAAGGCGGTAGTGAGGTTTTTGTCAGCGCACTGACTGAACTGTTCAGGAAAGTAATGGGAAGTGAGAATGCCCTAACAATATGGAATGAAGCCATCACTGTGCCTACCTTTAAAAAGGCCTAACATAATACGCGCGACAACCATAGGGGTATTACTTTGCTATTAGTCCCATCTAAAATATTGGCCGCTATCTTACTTTGCAGGCTGTCCAAAACAAGTGAGGAACTGATTCGTGACAGTAGGTTGGGTTTCTTTCAGGCTGTGAGTGCATTGACCATGTGTGGTTACTCTAAGCCAGTGACCAGAATACCATCACACGTATCGCAGACCAACAATCGTTGTGTTTCTTGATATTAGTGCTGCCTTCGACTAGTTGGACAGAACTGATCTCTGGGATAGTCTGCTACAGAGAAGTGTACCTAAGAAGTTTTTAACATCCTGAAAGCTCAGGTGGAGTGGGAACATACAACTAGCAGTCACCACTGTCTCCAATCAACAGCAGAGTTAAACAGGTTCTCCCCATCTCTCCTTCACTTTGCCATGGATGACATTCTGGAGTCAGCCCTGAAGGACGTGCGTGGTGATGTATATCTGCTCCCAGGATGAGGGCCTATCGAACTGGAGTATAGAGACGATATCGTCTTAGTGTGCGATAGCACGCAGGCTACCCAAATTGCATTTAATCAGTTGGCAATAAGTGTCTGTTAGCATCACATATGCTTTGCGTCGTCCCAGTGTAAAGTACTGTTTCAAGATTGGCAGGATACTGTACTACACTCACTCTTGCAGGTAAACCGCTTGAAGCTATCGACGAGTTCGTGTGGGTGCTTTCAGAGAGGTGCGACTGATGAAATCTCTAGTAGTATATCGAAAGTTAGGGTGGCAAACGCTAATTTCAGCCATATCTGGTGCCATCGTGACGTCAGCCCGGCTGTCAAAGGTCGGGTTCACAAGGCTTCGGTTCGCGTAGTCTTGCTCCACTCCTGTACATTTTGGCTTGTCCTAGCTGATGATGTGGAGCGACTCTGCGTACTCCATCATCGTAGTCTCCGCAGAACTAATCGCATCCGATGGCGTCATCGTGTGAGTAACCGTGTGTTTAGACACGATGGAGGTCACTATTTTTTGAATCGTCATCTAGAAACATTGACTTCGATGGCTTAGGCATGTGCAACAAATGTCATCCCAGAGGCTTGCGTACCGGTAGCTGTCCATTAACACCGGGACTGGACGGAAAAAGCGGAGAGGTGGTCATTCTATGATGTGGTGTCCTGGGAGGAAGGATATTTGTGTCAGGTTAGCATCAATTGGCAGATCATGATTCCCTGGTTGGAGTCCGAATCAGCGGCTCGGAACGTCATCAGAAATGGATAACAACCGCAATCAATAGCGAACATACCTCAATTTCCTTCTTTCTGACACTGTTTATAGCCATAACTAGGTAGGTAAACACGCTTGAATACATGATTTGTAATGCAACTTTCGTTGTCGCGCTACATATTATTATTATTTCTATCTTTCAAATGTTTCATACCACCTCTACTGAAAATCAGATAAAACATCACGTGTTTGCCCAATGCTTGTAGCGATATGGTAACCTTGCATTCATATTGAGAATGCATACTTCTGGGGTTAGAGGTACTACTGTGGTGAGAGCAAGCTGCTAGCCGATTGGTAGAAATTAATCTAGGCTGATTCAAGGACCAATCACAGCTGACCTTGACATGGACAAATATGATTCGCAGACAAGTGGCTCGCATTTCCGAGAAACATAGAAAACGAGAAAGCAGAAGACTGCGTTTGTGTGCAAACAACCAATCAGAAGACCGCCTTCTTTCTGCGGGCAGAAGTCTATTAATGTATGTAAAATGCATATAAATACATGTTGGTTATCGTAATAAATCTGATCTGTTGCCAGCCTTGTCTTCTGTTGTTACACTACTGCTCATAATGACATTTGCTGCTATTCACAATGAGTATAGATAATATTTTGAAATATTTAAGCGAACTGGGGATAATAATAATAATAACTTTGAGGAGAAATACACACATGAGAAACTTATTACCACTATTAAAATAATTTTAATTTTTCTTTTAACTAAAATCTTACCGTGAAAATCAGTTAGTATAACTCGTTTATCATAACTAGCTGATAAGAGATAATAGGCAGTTGGTGAAAAGCGTACACTTCGTACTTCATTTGAATGTGGCCTATAAGCGTTGATATACCGAGCACCGCGTAAATCGAATAAAGAGATTGTAGCATCTTCATGACCACTGGCAAGTAGATTACAACCAGATTCAACAGTTACTGAAGCAAATGCACTTCCTAGATGGTAAAGATAAAAGTAGAGCAAAACGAAAGACGTATACAATACTGATATAAATTAGCAATTGGACAGTATAATAAATTGATGACTGTATAATCACACTTTCGAATTGGTGAAAAACGTTGTATGAAGGTAAACTACAGAAAAGTAACTTGTTGCATAAAAACTGCATGAACCTGTCTTTGGAATTTTCAAAAAGTGCTTCTAAATTAAGACACTCAAATGTTCAATTAAGTCAAATGCAACACGATAAATTTCAAAGTATTGATAATTATGCCGATTATAGGCAACATGAAAGTCAGTAGGGAACCCGAGTAAATCATTATCAAAATTATTTACTATAATTATCCCAGTATGCTTACAAAAGCGAAATAAGAGTCCCAGTGCCTCAGTTAAACTTCATTATTTATACGTCATTTGCTTATCGAAATTCAAGAACTAGAGGGAAACAACATCTTGCCCAGAACTGACTATTCTCACGAAACATAAACTGCAATACTGTTACTGTCTTGAAGTCTTTTACTGCCAGTTATTAGGAACATAGATGCTCAGGTACTTTCTGCTTTGCCATGTATGCCTGTGTGGATAGATGTGGTTCAAAAATAGTACATAAAGTTTCCGCACACTGAACAGTTTTATGGCGTCAGGCACTTTTTACAGCCATTAATACATATTTAAGCATATAAAATATCGTACGTTAATTATTACATCTTTAGAATGTGAGTCTGTCTTCAATTGGCTTCACCTGATATATGTCTATTTCAATTTTCCGGACTGATTGCTGTCCAAACACAAATAACAAAGGCTTCAGTCCGTGTCATTACTCTCAAGTAACACATGCACAGATGAAGGCCATGGGCTGCTAGATGGGTAGAATAAAAGCTAAGATTATTTTCAGGGAAAGAATTTCTCAACTTATCTGGTTAGTATGTGGGAGTAATGCCAATTCATAGAATGGATGTTAACCAGCACAGGCATCGGAACCTGCTTGGATGCGCACTTGATACAACAAAACTTAAAACACCCAAAGCATTCAGGGACGACGTGGAAATTTACTTAGTTAATGCGAAAATCTAGCGTATAACTTTTATCCCTAGCTGTTATTTTCTGATAGAATAAAAATTGTTCGACAACTGTTGTCAGTGTGTCTTCGGACAACTCATGTCTCGGTTTTTCGACAAGTGACGAATCATAGTCTCACCAACTGCATACGAATTCCGGTCATGACATCTGCCATCAGTGCATTATTGAATATTTCAATGAATAAATTAACTAACTAATTAGGAATTGAATGAAAACACTTTTTCTAATAAGGCAGAGAAAATGAAATGAACAAAATTAGTTGTCAACAGAATACCTGTGTATATATCAATAGGAAGTACTTTTTTTTATTCCTTCACGTTCCCAGTGGAACATAGGGCTTCAAGCTAGTAGCTTGAAGTTTCAGTAGCAGAGATGTTTATTTTTACAGGATGGGGTTGGTAGCCTCATGCCCAACCTTTCCTCTTTACCAGCTTTATTTCTGGCTTAGTGAGGTAAAGGAAGTACTTAATTCTATTTAAATAATTAGAGCTAATTACGCATTAGGCAAAATCAGTGAAACGATGTGAACCAGTTACATGCATATAAATATATACATGTATATATACAAAGTAATAAGAAGCATAAAAAGTCTTTTTAACCGCAGCTTTCAACCTTTGTCTAGTTGTCAAGCTGCTATGATACCACATATATAGGGTAGCTTGATGTACACGTCTTTCTTAGGGGCGAGTTAGAGGGTGGGTTTGGTGTTCTGACTACTTGATATCTCCTGATGAACTTGTCTGGATGATTATTATCAACCACAGTTTGTGTTAACTTTCTTTCTTCCTCATCAAGTGTGTCTTCAGTGCATATTCGTTGGATTCTACTGAAGAGGTACCTTACTAAGGCCCTTTTGTACCGAGCAGGGCAGAAACTGTGGCAATTAAGATACTGTCCTGTCCGGGTAGGTTTCCGATAAATAAACCTTTTTATTCACCCATCAAGCCATCGACTAAGCAATATCTCTAGGAAACATAAACGATTATCTTCCTCTTCTACAGACGTAAGTGATACGCTATTCTGAACTTCATTTATTCGATTTAAAATTGAGGTGGCAGAACAAGGCTTATCACTTATGATTACAGTATCGTCTACATACCTTCTTAAAGGGAACTAATTGTTATATGCATATATATATATATATATATATATATATATTATAAAGAAAGTCATTTGTTGATGAAGGATCATTTGGCTGTGTATACACATAAAATATACATGCAAAAATGAAGACATTTCACAGTAGGGACCGAAATTAACTATAACAGTAGATAATAGAAACGAGGTTAGCAACACTGTGAGCAAACGGAATCACAAAATCCATCTTTCATAAGAGGTGATTTAAAACACAAGGTTTGTAAACGTCCTGTTAACGGTTGAAAAAAATACTAACCTGGGTCGTAGATAATGTAAATATTATTGATTAGGTGGCTGAGTAGAAATAACTAACAGATCATTTGGCAAACTTCAGCAGGACAAAATGTAGTTGACATTCTAAACTATTATTGAACTTAACACTTATTCATGCCTAGTGTTTTGATGAAGATTTTTATCTAATATAGTCGTGTTTTGGAATTAGAAAGAGATCAAGCTTGACCACCACCGTAATCATTACAAACAAAAATGAACTCAAAAAAAATGTTGCATTCAAAACATCATACAAATAACTACAACTTACCTTGAGAACCTGAATACGAAGGGACAATCAAAACGGGTGCTGGTGCTCGTAAATCCCATAGGCGTGCCGTAGCATCTGCACTACCAGAAACAAACAATGAACCAGGACTCCATACAGATAATGAATAGACTGCTGCAGTATGTCCAGACATGGAACGTACCACATAACCCGGTGGAGTTGATTTCGGCGCTGATGCATCAAATGTTTGTGCTCGATTACAATCGACAAGATAAATACGCGAGTCTCCAGCACCTGCACTCAGCAAATGGTTACTTAGTGTACTGGTATTCGCATCGGATGACGGGTAACTTCCTAACTTTATTTATTTTGAATGAAGAAAGGGGATTATTAGTAATTGTGTAATTTAACATTACATTTTACAGCGTAAACAGTAAACCGCTAGAAAAAATCAAATATTTCACAAACTCAAATTCGTAATCTGTTATTTACACAGTTAGAGGTGAAATTCCACCACACTTTATTCTGGAAACCGAAGTTATTCAAATCACAATATGTGATCTACTCAGTACTGTAAAAGCAGCGATCATGAAAGCAAATATGAATGCGTGAAGCTATATACTACTGATTGATTCGAATGAGTAGTTGGATACCAATCACTTTAATCAACTGATAGCATAGTCTCATTCACCAAAAGCCATTACAGAAATTCATTCCATTATGAAACATTCGGGCAACTGGCACGATACGATTTCTACTTCACGAATAACACTTCTGTTACTTATGCCAGTCTGTTAGCAATACTTAAAACGAATTGAATATATACTCAACGCGAAAGAGACGGTGACAGAGACAAAACTTACCAAAAATGCAATATCTCGTACAGTACCATCATGATATCGAAGTTCTATAGCATGTCCAGCGGTGCTTGCTATCTCTGGATCGCCACAAGCAGCATCTGGTATACCAGTACTTGGATCCATTTGCAGTAGACGAACTGTAGTATCATTACTTCCCGTTGCAATGAGTTTACCGTCTGGACTCCAGGCAACACAATATATACTACCTTTATGGTATTTTTGACGTCTCATTAGAACGACTGGCGAGGTAGCTACATGTTTGGCGCTACAAGAGAATACATGTTGAAGACAAAAATTATAGTATGGGATCTGGTTTAAAGCTACACTTGTTGTGACATAAATATCATGTATACATGATAAAATAGTGAAGTATACTTCGCAACACACAGTATGCACTATCATAGTGACAGTTCAAGTCGACAGAATCAAACGCATAACACTAAAACCTTTACAGACTGATGGTTTGAATTTCAACAAATTTTATTACAAAAAGAAATTAGTACCAGTAGTAAAACCGTATTTTTTTTCTTAAATAACTGAAAAGTATAAAAACTGGAGGTGACGAATACTCAATGGGAAAAGTACAAATAACAACTAAATTCTCCAAGGTCTAGCTATCCTGATAAAATTGATAATTTATGATGTGATTGTGTTCTCAGAACCACCCGGCTCAAAACAGGTGCTGAGGTCGACATTTAACAGTGACGCAGTCAGTATTGTCACTAGGGGATGTGAAACACACATTATCAAAAGTACACCGCTGAGAATTGATGTAGGTTGCGACACCATGGTGTTGCAACCCCTAATTTTCTCTTAGAGCTACTCCGACCTTGACGAATAACCTGAAATCATTTATACAGACTAAATTATCATCATGGAGGTCGCAGAGCCAGGTTTCTTGAAGAGTTGTAATCCCTGCATTGTTGTAGCCATTAAGACACGAAAGATTGCAGACAGTCAATTTGAACCGGCAGGGAGCGACAGTTTGTGTTCATAATCTCAAGAACAGTCATTTGGTGTATAGGAATACGTACGAAATCACGTCGCGACCCAGCATGATGCTTCTTCCTGGGCTTTATGGAAATCTGAAAAGTTGCATGTTTTAAGCATCTTAAATATTCGCGAGTGTAAACAATGCGATTGAAGGTCATGCTCTTATAGGTTAAAACAAACTGAACATGAGAAATCAATTGCAATATAGTGATCGGTGCATTTTCAGTAGCCCAACTATTAAGCAGGCCATCATCTATGAAGTGAGCGAGTATATTTATAGGAAGCAAAGTTTGAGATGGACAGCAGATACATTTTTAAACTTCAGTACTAAGTAGGAGAAGTTCTATTTTACTTTATGCGGAAGAGTAGGAAGAATCCGTACAAACGATCCAATAAATGACAGTCATAAGAGACTTCGAAAACCAGTCGCCGAGAACGACCATCCCTGAAGTGTCAAAGATAGAAACATGAAAACACCAAGAAAGACTACCATCACAAATGAGGACCATACGTATAAGTACAGAAATCAGGGGAAAAACAATAGTGCAGATATTTAAAACAGAATGTGTAAAGCAGCGAAGAAAACTACGAGATTTCTCTACCTGACGGTAATTGATTTAAAAACATATATAAAGGGTCGATTACAGATATTGGCAACTAACATGCATCAACCAGTTTGTTTGCTCTTACGTTTAATTTGAATGAATCTCTGAATACCAAGCCACTCAGTTATCTAGAGAAAAGAGAGGATCAGTCAATAGGTCTATCTCCGAACACATAGGTAATCCTGGTTATTCCGTCTCACCAAAATCCTTCTTTAAAGTTATCTGAGTAGTAAAATTTCAGTCACAATAAAATACTTTAGTGCTTTACATTTTCTAGACCCACGCATTTCATTTTGTTTTTTTCCAACTCTATAGTTTCACAAAACAGTGCGATAATAATCTGTTACACTGACGACTATTCATCTGCTTTCAATAATGTTGAAATGGATATGACACTGTGATGAAAAAAGCTTCAAAATAAGTCGACTTCTTATAAATCATTCTACTTTGGTGTAGTTGTATTCCCCGAGTTGAATGGTTTGACCTTCGCAACTACACCAGAATCATGTACCTGAGCCAAACATCTCATCGCTATTACATCTAAACCATCCCATACATACGAGCATATGAAATGTAGATGTAGACAACTAAACAAGAACTTCGTTTACATTTCAGTGTACATCGACAAATAATTATAAAGAAACTTCGCGTGAAAATAAGTCCTTCCTCACAGACTCACCTTAAATGCTGTACACTAGGAGATTGACATACACGTAGAAATTTACTATTTGAACCAACAGCATAAAATCGTCCAGAAGGATGAAATGCAACACACCGTACTGGCTGACTATCTTCTAAAATTGTCACAGGTATATAACGGGGTGTTTGAGGGGAGGCTGTAGTAGAAGTGGAAGCTTCACCATTAGATTTGTATGTTTCATCGACTTCGTTATTAGATGACTGTTTAAGGGCAGTATATTTCGTATTGGATTGTATTGGTTCAGGAGTCTTTTGAGGTGTCTGTACGAAAAGAAAGGAACTACATGTTGAAGTATGTAAGCATGATTTTAGTGACAAACAAACATTTTCACAAGTGAAATTTTAGAAGAAGTAAACAGAGGGCAAAAATGACACACAGAGAGCATGGAGTTATTACTAAAGCAGATACTTTGTAATTGCGACCAAGAGATTGTATATAAATATATCTGGCGCAGAAGCATTTGACTTCCCATATTATCCACTAAAACTTAAACTCTCTTCATGTTACTATTCGTTCTCCCTCAGTTCTCTGCCTATTATAACTCTCTGGAATCCTTTTTTGTGCACCTTTGTGTGCTACATCAAATGTGGAAGCTTGATCACCTGTGCACTTCTGTGCAGAGTTCTATGTAGAAACTCAGACAAATTTCAAAAATAAATAGATAATAATTTCTATGAAATACAACCAATTGATTGAAGCTAGAAAGTATCAATTAATATACTTTCGATAACTAGCGTGTAAATATGATATGCTCAAATATACAACAACTTAGAGATGTTAAACGTTAAATTCCAGTAAGATTTAAATCGAAAGAAGAAAAAAAACGATATTTTGATACAAGTTAAATGTTGATTCAAGATGAAAAATTTGGTTAAAAGTTAATCAATAAAATCAACTAGAACAGTCTAACTAGTCGAATGACAAACGAAATAGTCAGTAATTCATTCCATATTTTTAAAGTATGAAAGATTTCATTCAAACTTGCTTGTAAAGAAAGGTAAGCGAATTAAAGACTCCTGTTTACATAATGAATAAATTAATTATTCTATTCACTGATATGATTACTGAAAGTTTAAAACAAAGTGCAATAATAATGCGAAAAAACAGTGAATCATTTTGTTGAATGTGAACGCTTTTATGCCAAGCAGAAATGATATACACAAACGCACACACATGCATACACACAAGTAATCTAACATGCATACCAGACTGAATTCGTAAAACTATCGATTTATGTCAGGTAAGTGATATCCAGTACACGATTTTTTTTTACTAGACCTTTTGAATTCACTCCAGGAACCATTTTCAATGACTGCGTCAAACAACACGATTCAATTGTGTAAGTGTTTCCTCCTAACTTCACTAAACACTCCTGCATGTCATTACACATCAAAGAATCTGTTACATAAACGCGATCGAGATAAGTCCTCCGAAAAACGAATATTTAAAAAGGCTTAATAAATAATATGATATAGACTGATCATAGTCGAAAATTTTCATAAGTGATTAAAAACCCTGTCATAATCCTTAAAAACTAGATTTTCTTAAATCTTTTTTAAAAAAAAACTTCATTATTTAGTAAACCACAGCAAGGATAACTGACTATCGAGTGATTGACATGGTCAAAAAATTACCGAATCGGTTGATTAGGTGGTGACCAACGTAATATTTTCGTAGTGTGTGCTGAAATTTCACAATCCTATTTGATATGTAAACTAAAAAATATGAAACCATTACATCCTCTATTTGATACACTTCTATTGAACAACATTAAACAAATGACCCATATGTCCCCAGCAACATAGATACGGTATGACAATTGATCCGATTACTATCTCGCGATCTGTTCATGAACATCAATCAGTCAGAAGAGCAAAGTGGTTAAGTCTTTGTCTTCAGAGCTGAATGGCGCAAGTTATAATTTTAGTGGAAATTGAAAAGAACGTGTCTTCAAAAGCACCTCGCTGGTGACCAGCAACAGGTCCGATAAGTTATACCCAGGAGAGGTTCTTCTAGTGATCGACATAGACCATCTATCAGATAGTTATAGTATAACAAATCATCCATGAATTGCTTTTTTTATGGTATGTTGAACAAAAACAGTTAGATAAACTAGAGAATAATAATGAGTAGTAGGAAATAAATACTTACAGAAGGTGTGTGACAAATCGACTGATCAGGTGTGGTAGGCGCCTGTGAATTTTCCCGATCCAGACGACGTTTTTGAAATTCATGTAACAAGTCACCAGCACGTGAGCCAAGCTCATGACCGTCTTTTTTATTTCAAAAGTAATAATAATAATATTCTCATTAAAAATGGAAGAATATCACAGATAACTTTTTAAACATATTCATTGATATTCCATTTAAAATATGAATGAAACAAGGATAGAACACTATGGATTCACTTTTATGACTTTCAAAAGGTGAGAGGCAAATCCAAGTAGTTTACTTTGTAGGTTATAAAAATACTTTTATTAGAAAATCACTCCAAACACAAACATTTTTAACTGAAAAAGTTAAAGTGAATAAATAATTTTGCTGTGACGCATAACTTTTGATCAACGACTACTGCATCCGAAAGCATCACGGAGTGAGTTATTCTGGGGTCCAACTGTGGTGGAGGTGATGATGCTGCCAACAAACCACTTTATCCTAAATGCTTTAAACATGTAAGTGTAGAACTTGGACACTGTGGTTGAATGTAATTCCATATAAGATAAAGGTTTATCTTTAAAAGGAAACATTACAAATGCTGTTAATTCCTACTTATTAGGCGCTGTCACCGTTATGCAGTCAAAAAGTATTTGTGTCATGCTTAATAGTCATTTTATTTTTACGCTTATAGCCTCTTACAAACTTACAGATAAATTCATCATCATAAAAGGCCTCCATTATATGCCTTGTTTCCTGACGGAAAATTATTGTTGTAGCGGAGAGTTATTTTATCTTATTGATTAAACATCTCATTAAGCCAATAAAAATAATAGTCTCAATGTGTCATCTATCAAATGAACTAATATGCAGGAAAATTTAGCCAACAACGTCCAGAGAAAATTAATTAATGTAAATCATCCACCTGATACCGGTTTATGGATTACAAAGTGAGACACCAGATAATAATTTATGGTATCATGGAACTGCTTGTCCGGAATGGGTAGAAGTAGGTTCCCGTATCCATGACGTGATAGGTCTACATTAAAATATCTAGGCAAATTCGTTATTCCTCAAATGTGAACTGAAACTAAATTTCCAACGTGAAACTCCACACAAAAAATGCAGCTACCCTTTATTAGGTACATAAAAAGGTGAGGAATAAAAAAAACTAGGATAAACCGAAATGTGGGGGATATAGAACAATTTCATGAAGGATATTAAGGATTTAGTGAATTCCAAAGGGACGGAAGGAACTGATGCGAAACATACACATCCTTTCACCAAGAGCCGGATATCACTGACGTCTACACAAGAGGTGGTGCAAATTGGAAGATCCAAGACCAACCTCTCGCAATCCAGCTGAGATTTCGTCAACAATCAGTTTATTAAGGCTGATGTAACCTCACAAATAAGTGGAATGGTCTACACGCTTAACCGATTCACTTCTTATAGTTAAAGTGGGAGGCAACACAGATCAATCCTGTGACACTCTAGACATCAAGATTTCTGCTTAAAGCGTTCTGAAGACTGTATTTTGTCAGCATCTTCACCCATGATGACTATATCATCTGCATACTCTGAATCAGTGTGATATCCTCCTGAGGTAACAGGTCAAACCCAAAGTCGTCAAAGGTAATCAGAGGGACTTCCATTAATACATTTATGATTACATTAAATGAAAATGGAAACTGAGAATTCCTGACGGATACTACTTCAGATGATAACCAGCTATAAGCACTTACAAAGTGCCACCGTGTCAACAAAGTGGAATACCGCTTCACCTAAAGAAATATGACAGGAATTTAAGGCTAATAAGTTTACCTATGTTGTTGAATCTGTCGAAGGGCGAATATATGGCGATTACAATGCTTAAATTTAAAAGGATCATGTTACCTCCTCTACTATGAGGTGTAGAAAGATACTGACAACTGAATTTAAGGTTAATAAGACTGAATCAGAAATTTTACATATTTTCAAGGAAATACGGAGAATTTTTATCGTTAAAGAATATCGAAATGGTGTAAGCTAAGCTTTCAGTAACAACTGGTTTCCTGTAGAGTTGCCCACATGACTTCATGCTGAGAAACATGTTACTTAGATTAATATATTGTGAATGTACTACAGAGAAACACAAAATGTAATAAAATGATAGGAAATTATGAGATGTGTAATAAGTTTTGACAACTTTGTAAATAAGTAATTCTCATTCTTATTAAATATTCGAAAAATCTATTATTTCTAAAATCACCGTGGTGCATCAATCTTGTATACACACGTGACACAGACAATGATCAAATTAAAAATTATTCGACCTGTGCGTTTGTCAGTGTTTTAGGTTTCAGAACAGATTTCCGTTACAAACTGACGCCAGGGAATCACTGAAAAACAGAGCACTGAACTGCTATTCGCACCAAGTTTTAGTTTTCACTAGTACACATCCAGTAATATCCAGTTTAAGATACGACAGCAATTTATGACTGTAAAGGTTGTCGGTTTGAGTGGAGTATAGCGAAATCTAAATTGCCAGGAAATGCAAGGCAACGGAAACTGGTGGTTGTTCCTTAGCACTAGAAGCAATCAATCAAACAAATGTGTAACTTATATTCAAGAAAATCGTGCTACCATGGACCTACTGTATTTATTTCACTTAGCTACTTATTTGGTTATCCACTTCATCTTGTGTTTTTTACCAATGTTAATATTATAACTTTCGTTTCTTTTCTCTTTTGTTAACAGAATTCTACTTTGAAGGACTTATTTGGAATGTAGCAAATTGGATTTTAACAAAGTAAATTTTACTGACAAACTTCGTCCATCAGTCTAAGCACTTTTACAGAAACACTAGGCTAAATTACATGTTAAACAACTAATGATGGAATGTTAATGCTACTTTAGTCCAGATCAATAAAAGAACCAGCTGTCACAGGCTACCTATTACAATTATGCACGAATATCGGTAAACATAATGTTGTCTAAAGTTATGATATTCAAATACAAAAGAAAGTTATCTGATTTAGAAGTAACACAAAAATATACTCGAATTATAGTATATCAACAAAACACTGACCTGCTTCTGTATCAATTATAATTGAACTTTGCATTGATGCAACAGCTTCTTTAGGCGATAAACTTCCAGACATTGTTTTATTAGAATGAACAGATTTTGCGTTCACACCACCATCATCATTGATAGAATGCTTTCGAAGTTGATCAGTAATGTTGCCTTCACCAGAATCTGATGGTGAATGTGATGGCTCTTCCGAAATGGACTGCATTTGACCAGTAACAGCGCTAGAACGAGACAAAAGCATAGAATTTCGTAAATTCGCTGCCATATGATGTTGATCTTGATCTGGCATTATCACTGAATTCATATCTGCAGAACTTGTTGACATTTGACCATGTAGAGAGAATAAGCGATCTACTGAGGCTTGCATGCTAGCGACTGTAGCTGATTCCATGTTATCATCCGTCGTAGTTATATTGGCACTGGGGTCAGCTGAATTATCATTATTATTACTTTTATTTCCAGGAATAGTGTTGTTCTGTGGACCAGTGGAAGCTGCTGCATAGCTTGACAAGTTGGAATCAGGCTTCTTATTTAAAAAGTTCAAATTTGGATTAGGTGGTAGTCGAAATCCAGATAAGGAATGAGTCATTAAACGAGGCTACAGACCGAAACACCAGGAAAGTAAAACGAAAAGAATTAAATACTCATCAAACAAGTGTAAAATTAGTCTCCTGGCAAGTAAATATTACCATTTAAATTATATATTAATGATATTCAACTAGTAAAACAAAATGACTAAAACAAATCCAATCACCGCTAAAAATATTAACGTTCCCATATATCAAATAGAAGGAATCCGATTATTAAAACGTAGCTAAGTACACCTCACATACCTTCACGAAAATTGAATTGTAATTCAGTGATTAGTTTCACTACAAATCACTTAGTTCACTGACTTTAACATGAGTCGAAATTGTTTATATAAACAGCTATATCATACACTTCGACTGGGTTGGTTAGGTTACTCAACAACTACTTGCATTACTAAGCAGTTGACAATGAGTCACACTCAAACTTCCGCAAATGGAGAGAGATTTGAATCCCCTGTCTAAATAGTAAAGTGTCTACACCAGTGAGCAACAGCTCCACATACGCTTCGAATACGACAGTTTTATGGAATTTTTTTAGTTTTACAGAAATAAATGTCGCCACACTGGTCTCCCCATTTTCATTTGCTTACTTATTCAATCAACTGCTACAATAATTGTCACCTCATTGATTGCAATGGTTAGGACATCGCCTTCCTAGACAGGCAATGTTAGCTGACACAGGATCAGGTTGGAAAAGAGCCAGTGGTAGTCAAACCAAAACATGGCTTCATCAGTCAATGAAATCCACGACAGTTAGTTTAAGCCAGTCATGTAGGAAGGTGTAGACTTCCTGGTTGGAGACAACCTGTGATATGACTCAAAATCGTTCTCAATGGTGCCGATGAATCCACTCCTTGTGACTTATGATGTCCAATAAAACTATATGCTCCTTCAATATTACTATTCTTTTTGCCTCACACCTTTGTTTACTGCCTCTCTTTTGCATTTCTTCTACTTTCTTCTCTTGCTTTATGTGCTACATGGAGTGTGGCGACTCGAACAGCTGCACATCGGTGCAGAGTTCTACGTTGAAACCAGTCAGTCAGTTTGTATGAGAAGACTGTAGGTAAAACTATAGATAATAAGTAATTATACTGATGAAAGTTTCTGAGGTATTCAGAAATCAATGATAAATTAATCAACTGTATACTTCTAAAAATAGATAACAGTGGCTTATATGATGGATAGTTAATGCGCTAGTTTTTAGTGCAGAGATAGCACGTGTCCGGATAAATTCAACTCTACGGGTTAAACTTTTTCAACTTTAATAGGTTTACTAACCGACCATAAGAGATACGCCTAATCAATAAATTGAGAGAAATAAAAGTAAAACTTACACCACGTCGGGATAAATTAGGTAAGCCAGAACTCCGAATGACTGGACGCAAACCTCCATTTATACCACTACTATTATCGTTATTATCATTAGCATCTCCATTGACCTGATCATCTTGCATAGAAGAGGCAGGATTCATACGAAGAAGACCACTAGACAGACCTTCGTACGCTGGGATAAGACTTCGCATCAATTCACCACAAGGTCCTTGTAAATGACCTCTTTTTAAGGCTGCATTACGTATTGATAATACTGAACGTTGTATACTAGATCCCATTACACCATTCGATATTGGTATATGTGTATACGGGAAAACTAGTGGTTTAACAGTAGGTTGAGTCAATATATGCTCTGGCCATAAATTGGATTCTAGTGTAGGTCGATTAATTGGTTGCACTTTTAAATCCAATTCATACGATTGAAATGGTTGACTGAAGCTAACCGGTTTCAATGATTGAAGCCAAGAGTTTAGAGATAAATCAGGTGCAACTGGTTGACGACAATGACTTGTTGAATGAGCAAACATACGTTGGTTTGAATCATTGTTTACAGTAAACTGTGGATTATTTTGACTATAAAGACGTTCAGTTTCCTCTTCTTCATCGACATCTCCTACATGATGAAATAAACGAAAAATAATTTAAAGAATCATCAATTCATTCAACAACTTACTGAATGATACACTTGTTTAATTACAGCAAAATATGCAAACATTAACATGATTTACTGTTCAAAATGACTCAGCTATCAAACAGTTAAATAGCTTTTACAAAGTCGTAATGAATTTAACCAGAACAGTATAATTTTAAAAAGTGATTGCCAGTAAATAATTTGGATTTCAGAAATTACTTCTTTAGTGTTGATATCACATTTCGGTGTTAAAAACAAATACCGAGTTATATGATGTGTTGATCAGCTTTTTTCATTCCTTCACGTTCCCAGTGGAACATAGGGCTTCAAGATAGAGGCTTGAAGTTTCGGTAGCATTGGTGTTTATTTCTACAGGATGGGGTTGCTAGTCTTATGCCCACCCTTTCCTCTTCACTAGTCCTATTACTGGCTTAGCGAGGTAAAGGAGTGCGTCGGTCGGGGGTCGAACGCCGAAACACATGCGTGGTTGGCGAGTATTCTATGCTGTGCCACCGACGATGATGATGTCTTACTGAACATTATTCTTTAACAAGACATAGGAATAATGAAAACACTTAAGTATTATAAATAAAACTGTTAATTTGAAAAGTATTCAAATCATAATTAGTTAGGGAAATGTGTATATATGAGAAATGTTAAAACAAAATGACGAACATGAAGAATTTGTTAGTTGTAATAATAATAATAATAATTTGTTTTATTCCAAAACAGTACTTATGATACTGTATGGTTTAGAAAACAACAGAGTGAGGGAAGAAATGTATTCCTTTTAAAGTTATTCATCGTATTTCACCCAACCACTAACATGGTCTACGAGTACGACTTTTACACACAACAGAAGCAATTGGAATTCATCTGAACAAGCCAAATCTGTATGTTTAAAAGAAATTTGTACAGACCCTTTCTTTGCCATGACCAACTACACAATATGTATTAAGTTTTTAAAAACGATTTTCCCCTCCCTTGTAACTATCTTTTAACTATGTTATTTTTCACACTTCTCGCTAATTCTATTAACTTGTTTGTATTTTACGCAATTCTTCTGAGTCATCCTATTCTTCTTAGTCATCAGCATTTTACAAATTTCTTGATTACGTAATAACTTGTTACCAACGCCTAAGAATCAACCTATCTTGAATTCCGCAATTAATTTTCACCCCTCTTTTAAAAATTAGACATCTTGCTACTAACATTTTTGATTTTGATTTTTGATTTACAGCTTGATTCCACACCGTATTTTCAGTACAAGTGTGGAATTTTCAGCATGGATATCGGTAGCCCGAAATTTGCAGGCCGACCATTGATATCGGGTGTGCGCCGGCAGGGGATCGAACCCCGGACCATGTGCATGGTCGGCGAGAGTCCTAACCACTGTGCCACCGACGCACATCTATTAGTTATTTGTTTTGATGACCTTTAACCTCTTGATTTCACCCCCACCTACATCTAAAACTGAAATAACCACTTGATTGATAGAAAGTCTTGATATAAAAAACTACATATTAGTGTAGAGCCGATGATGACTAACTAAGTGAAGAGGAACTTATTTTTTCGCTCAGTCTGTTGTTTTCCAAATGAGTAAATGGGAATTTTGGAATTACAGTGTGGTTTGTCTGCCTTTCTTGCCCTGCTTAGCGGTGAATAGACCATGTATTGTGACTGCGACATTGCATAGTATGATACAATCTATACCATAACTTGTGTAGCATGTGCAACAGCAAAAGGCAAGACACGGAAGCCAAGGTATCTATTAAAGTGATCAAACTGGTATTTATATATATACAGTTTGTACTCTTTAACCCATCACTGATCTTTGTTTACATTAAACAATATAAAATAGAATGTTAAATGCATAGATTATTCTGTTGTTAATGTAGTATGGAATTGTGGGAATGTGAGAATAATATTCCGTTGGAACACATTGTCTCTATCACACCACCACACATGTATTAGTCTAAGATGTTACTCTAAAGTCTCAAAAGAAGATGTACGCCAAAATCTGTAATCCATGGGACTGAAAGGAGAACATGCTTCCATCAAGCCAGTTTTCTAAAGAAAATTTAAACGGACTGATTTTGCAAAACACGACAAAATCAGTTTCTTATCAGAAACTTCATTCGCCAATAACGCGGTGAGATGTTCGAAATCTAACTTTTTATGACTCCAAGTTTCCCAGCTTTTTTTATTCCTTTTACATTCCCAGTGGAAAATAGGCCTTTAAGCTAGAGCTTTGAAGTTTCGACAGCAATGGCTTTATTTTTACGGTGAACACTTATTTAGTCAAAATGAAAAACAAGACACACAATATACACTGAACAGACAGATCAAGTGAATAGTATTCAGAAAGAAAAAAAACTTAATATTTCATTTACGGAGGCATTCATATACCACACAATTTTATGCTTTTGGCATATAGAAACATATGCAATTGTAAACGTGTGAAACTGAATAAGGAAACAAATGCACACCTAACTAACGAATCAATCATAGAGATCAGAACAGACTAGATATTTTACTTCAAATCAATTCATGCAGCTTCGCAAAAGTGCATATGGATAGTTTTTGTGTCATATAAAACATTAACATGTCCCAAATGAATGCTATTGGGCAATATACTAGCACGTTAATGTAAACAGAAATCTTAATTCTGACAGAGCAATATATAAATTTACGACATATTTTTGAAGACAATCCATACGCAAAACAACAAACCTCCCAAAATCCCAGTTATCTGCATTTGAGCTTTACGTTCTGTCGCCATAAGAGCACAATAATCTACACACGCTTCATATAATAAACCTTTTACAAGTAATCGTAACAGTCTATCTCCACGAGCATTTTCTTCAGTAGTTGTTTGGCCACTTGATGAATGTTTACTAAGTTGTATGAATGGTTGTAAAAGTGGATAAATCTAATATGGATGGAAAAACAGAAAGTGTTGTCAAGTAAATAATCGAAACACATTGACAATAAGCATGCAGAAACATAAAAATCATAATTTAAAATAGTGATAAGAGATTTAACTGATAGCACACAAATTATCGACACAAATACCATTAGGGAGAACAAGACATTCGAAGTCAGTATTAACTGTTAATATTATTATTTTTAAAACAAAGCCAAGAAACACCAAACCAACTAAGTACCGAAGCAGTATGCTTCAGCGTGAGTTTGACTTACAAACTCATCTCTCACTTAACTGCTCTGAACGAATACAATCTTTTCATAGAAAAGTCAATTCAAGGGCTTATTCAAAATAAACTGAAATCACATTTTATACAGTTAGCTCTGCACAAAAGCTTCTGTAGAATAACCACAATAAAGATTGTGGGATGAATTGAATTCAATTTCATTTCATATGATCTACAGCTTCCACATACGTTACTAAGCTAAAAATTTCCGTTTAATTCACTGGTTTGACATGTAATTGTCAAAACACGAATAATTTGGTATAATTCGATGGTAAAATGAGCACAGAACAAGTCCTTTCACATCTATATATAACAATAAATATGGAAACGAATACAGTATAATTCGTGACCCAGCTAGTCAATACAGGGATAAAGTACAAATTGTCATTTAGATGACTAATCATACCGTAAAACTCGATCGAAACAAGTAATAATTCGACATAACAAAACTCTAGAATTCAAAAACTACTAGAGAATTTCATACAGGGAAGGGTAGCTAACATATGACAGAAGAGGTCAGACAAAACGATACCACAATATGTGACCAGTGAACGTTGTATGAAGACATAAGATTACAGTACAAAGGACAGAGAGGAGGGTGGGAAATGCTAAAAAGGTGAGTCATATGTATGAATGGTAACAGGAAATAAAAAAACAACAGGATGCTGAGTGAAGAAAACAACAAACTACCAGGATAATACAACGTGGAACAAAATATCTTAATGCTCAATTTTCAATCAATAGATTTCTACCTTTTTAGTATAACACCCTTGAAATGGCAGACTATGACTAATGTTATGCATGATGTTTGCAAGTAGAAAGACAACTTAGAAACTGGTAGAATTCGGATAGGACGTCATCGCATAACCCAACCAACTGCCCTTACTAGCTGAGCAACTATCATTTAATCTACTGCCTAAATGTCAAGCTTAGTTAAAATGAAGACAACAGCTGCATTAAGATGTCTACAAATAGCAATGCTACTTTATCTTGCACCTCCAAAATATACGCTACTGCAGGTACAGTTCAATGAATAGATACAAGTGGAGGTAGCATAAAAAGTGTCTCAAATCCAGAATTATTTCTCCGAATAAGTTCTCTGTCGTATAGACTACTGTTAATTTTGTCAGAGAATAAGGTTAGGGCAGTCATTGACAATTTTGTGAACACATTTCATCTTCTATGAATGGTACTCTAGTGAATACTTTCTCTTTTTTATTTGAAATATTTACTAGTAAACTTTAGAAGATATCCATTATCTGATTCAGGTACATTAACCAAGTAAATTTACTACCGAAATCACATTATAATATTGTAGCAAAAATAACTCTTATTCATCAGAAATAACGTGACTTTTCCTGGCGAATTCTAGTTAAAATAAAAACGACAACACAGTAATGCGACAAATTCACATGTCCTAGCTTCCAAAAATTTGACTATCTGATGTTGCTAATTTATCAGAATACTGAATACAACGTTCACCAAACTATCAGTAACTTCCATACAATAATGTTACTGAGTGACCGACTGACTTGAATCATTTTGATTTTTTATACACTAGGTTCACTTCAGAAGTTAAAACATCGGAAAAACAACTACGTCCACTGACATTCCTCCTTATTGGATATAACTTAAGGATATATTGATAGTTTTTAAGCGATTGCAATAGGGTGTAAGATTTTACAAATTATCATTGACTATACATACGAAAATCTAACCTGATTGAAGCATTGTAAACGACCAAGGCTTGGATTCCAGTCCCGATAATCTGGATGCTGATCTAATCGAGTTAATGTTAACAATAAAGCTAGATCACGGTATTCAGCTTGAGTTTCACACTCAGGTTCTAATTGTTTCAAACATTCAATAACCTGAAAAGTAGAAAGTACAGGTAATATAGAACAGGCGAGCATAGTATTACTACTCTTCCGTGAAGAATAACTGATACCTATGCGCTGAAAGGAAAAATCTGATCAAATAAGATTTAAATCTAAGAAAACATAGTTTCTCGCTCTCTTTGGTCCCCCTTCCTGTGAATAAATAATTCATGCTTCTTTTCAAGCATTGGCTTTTGTTGGGATGTGGTTTGATTGGTTGGAGGAGTTTATCATGAGCTGACATCAGTTAGGGAACCATTGGAAAACCTGGGAGTACTGGATAGATGTTTCGTCGTAGTTTCGGACTCTTCATCAGTACGCGGCAGGTTGAAGATGAGGCGGTAACTCATCGAAGAAGATACTGCGAAGTGGTCGCGCAATGCGAACACGCACTGTGCAACTAACGCCTACTGCTGACTAAAAGTCCTTGCAAAACTGCTACAGTAAATTGCAATAGAAACCAAAGTATGTAACAATAGTACTTAAGAATAACTTTAAAATGTTCATTTCTTTTTCATGTTTTGTTAACATCCTGACTGAAAGTCATGGAACTAGAGCATTATTATTAATAGAAGTAGGAGGCGAAGGCGGAGGAAGATTATTAGCATTAGGGTGAACAAAAAATTACAAATCACCACCAACGTTTCTTTTAAGATTGAGGAGACCAATCACCGAGTATAATCGACTCAGATCAATTGTAACTCTACAGATAATACAACTGAAATAATTTGTGTTTAATAATTAGACTTTCTTCCAGTTTTCCTTCATTTACAAACGAGTAACTCCTAAAAACTTCATATATTCTAATAAAGAAAATATCTAGCCGTAGGAAGAAATTTAACGAAAAAGTAGGTTAAAAGTAGCAAGGACGATATTTTTATGAGAGAAAAAACTGAATAATATAATTTACTCAAATCATTACAATTTCGCAAACAGTAGAAAGAATTCAACATTTATGCCTTCACTTGACATAATTGTTAGCACAGCTGATATATGAGTGTATTTGCATTTATTATTTATTAAGCTGTGTCACACCCATTACTAAAAAGAGATGATACGTGCATACTCGATCATCTGATATCGTATTTGTAGACTATCAAGGCAGAATTCAGTCCCTTAGTATTCAATCTATACATCAATTTCTCAGTGGTATTCACTACACTTACTTTGAAGAAATATCTTCTGGGTGGGTGCATACTGATGGAGAGTCCCACACCAGGACAAAACAGATGTCTAGTACTCCCTGTTGGTTTTCCAATGGTTGTCTAACTGATGTCAGCTCATGATGAACTCCTCCAACCAATCAAACAAAATCCCTGAGTACTAACATAATATTATGATACAGTATAACAATCTACCTGTCCAACTTATCACAATAGCAAGATCAATGTGTTGAGACTATTAAATACAAATCAGTAGTGATATATGTATTTATGTTAAAGAAAACCAATAACATTTATTGCACAAACAGGAAACTATAATTGGTTTTTAACCAATAGATAGTTTGTATCAAGATTTCAACAACTCCCAGAGAGATAAGGCTGATGAATTACAATGTATGAATAAAGGTGTATTATGAGTTCAGATTGCTGATACAAAAGCTTTCAACCATATACAGATGATAGTATTCACTGCTTATCTGAAACCGCATCAATGGCTCTGTTGTCGATAACTTCAGTTTCAAGTATATCAACTTTATAACAATTTTGATATAACTTATTTTTGTAAGAGACTACCCTTGTTTACTCTCACAACTATAAAATAAAGGATCTACACCTGAGACTAGGATTAAAGGACAATAGCTGAAGACAATGATCCATATCTTTACACCAAAACAGCTACTTATGAGAAGTGTATTATTCTTCAACGCTGAGCCACATCATTGTAAAACTAATTCAATTTTCTGGTCAGTACATGAAGTCTCCTAATTAAAAAAAAACACACTAGAAATAGTTCTATTTGTTTCAAGTTTGATCACAGATTGATATCAGTTAGAGAACCATGGGAAACCGGGAAGTACTGGACAGTTGTTTCCTCCTAGCTTGAAACTCTGTGGCAGTACAGTTCGAAACCAAAACCTTCTGGTTACCACGGTGAGTACGTACTAGTAAACAGTCCCGAACTAGGACGAACGAGATGTCCAGTACTCACTCGTTTCCAAAGCTCCTCTAACTGGCACCAATCCGTGATCAAACTTGAAACAATTCAAATCCCCACAAACCAATTCATGAAAACAGCAATGTTATCTATCAGTGTTTCCAGGACACCTAGAATGATGACTGATCTCTGACCCACTTAGCCAGAGACCTAACTAATGTATTACTATATCACGGCTTTGAAAATATCGAAATAAGTGATACACTAAAATAGGAGACTAACCGACTAACCTGTTCAACACCTTGATCTATATCATTGTCAACACCATTGGTACCGCCGGTTCCATTGACAGGATCAGTTGCATCCAAATTATACGCATCACGTAAGCACAATAATTCCAAATACTTATGCTTTAATAGTAGAAATCGCGGCTTTCTAAGGTCTAATTCAACAGGTGGCCCTCGTAATGGTTCTAAGTAGTCTAAAGCATCATCCCACTATAAATAATAAATTTAAGAAAAAAACAGTGTAATAGTATAACGAATATATAATTTGTCACATCAGTGCACGCTCAAACCATTGGTCAAATTTTAGAATATATGACAATTTAAATACATTTTAATTATATGGGTAGACAAGGTGAATAACTACTACCATTTAAACATGTAAAAGCACATCAGATGAAGAAAAGGCGTAAAAATCATGCCGAAAAGTTAAGTTTAGCTGCCTTCTCTTCTCTAGTAAACGCAGTGTGCACAAAAATTCATTATCAAAGCACTATCTACCAATAAATATTGCATCCTTTTGTATCATTTGCTGTAGTTTGTTTCCATTCCTTCTGGTCCCCAGAGGAAATATGTGGCTTCATGTCCTCTTCAAGTTTCAGTAGCGCTTGTGTTGTTTTTACGCCTAACCTTCCTTCTTTAGCAGGTTTACTACAGGCTAGATGAGATTTAGGAGTGCGTCGTTGGCGTGGAGTCGAACCCGGACCTCCCGCGTGGCTGGTGCGCACTTTACCACTAAATGACAGACGCAACGAAATGTTCAAGAAACACTCTTCCTTTCTGTGACTTATTGCTTCAAATGATCCAACTAAGAAATATAGGGCTTGGAAGGGATTCAGAAACTTGGTTGTGCTTCAAACCTGAAGACTTAAACTTGGACATTAGGTTGGGAAATTCGGAGACAAAAACACCTACACTACTTTTACCTGTTTCTTTAATCAACACCTTAAACTGAGCGAATTTTTTAGGAAGCCGTATCAACACTAATTAACTTAACAGTAAACAGTATGATAAAAAGCCAGCCTAGTAATAATACTAAACATGTTATAAATAACAGTTAAGTGTAATAATTATTTAGCAATATAAGGTAAATGGTTAACGATTGTCAAAAAAACGCATACCCAATCTGAACAAAGATACTTCTTAGACTTAATCCTTCTAGAAAATCAGTGAATGACAAGAGTGTTTATATTTATACAAGTTGCGTCACTACGCAGACACTAGTGAACTGTATTCACTAGTCATGTTTATCATAAGAAGACTCATTAATGTGTAAACTTCAAAACATTGAATTCGAGAAGGTAGATCAGATGAACGAGTACAAATGCAATATAACACTACAAGTCAAGTGTCTGTAGATATGGAATATAGTTATGCTGTCCAGTTATAGAGTTATGGATTAGAAACCCAAGTTTTAATAATGATAAGCGTGTGATATGTCTGACATCACTAACAAGAATATAAAACTTTAACAAACAGGTAAAATATTTTACGAGTTGATCACGGACTGATATCAGTTAGAGAACCATTGAAAACCAGGGAGTACTGGACAGCTGCTGTTTCATCCTAGTTTCGGAATCATCGGCAGTACGCACCCACTGGGATTCGAACCCAGGACCTTCCGGTTACAAGGCAAGCTCGTATACCATTCAGCCACTGGGACCCGATTCAATGGCTCATGAATTCTAACTTCTACCAATTCGTGATTTTAGCGCGACCCCAACAGGCGTGACCAGTGAGGTCCAATTAGAAGTCACGTGTGGATGGATTTCCACCAACGACAATAGTTGGGGTCGCGCTAAAATCACGAATTGGTAGAAGTTAGAATTCATGAGCCATTGAATCGGGTCCCAGTGGCTGAATGGTATACGAGCTTGCCTTGTAACCGGAAGGTCCTGGGTTCGAATCCCAGTGGGTGCGTACTGCCGATGATTCCGAAACTAGGATGAAACAGCAGCTGTCCAGTACTCCCTGGTTTTTAATGGTTCTCTAACTGATATCAGTCCGTGATCAACTCGTAAAACATAACTAATCCTTACAAACCAAACTATAGAAAGGTAAAATATTGTCAATGTAATGCGTATTTTGATTTAAATTTTCCTCCAAATCTTCTTTGAAACGCAAAAACGAGCAAAGTACTTATTAGCAAGAAATAATTCTCCGATTACAGACAAAATCTCATCATGAATACACATCCAACTACTATTTTTTTTTTCAAAAGTCTTATCTCCTGCTGAGAGATGCCATTTGTAATAATAATGCAAATAATTTTCACCATTCAATATGATCATAAATACTAAATGTCTTGTTTGACTGCTGTTAAGCAACTGAACAGAAATTTAAACATAATTTCACAAAATGAATTTCACACTGATGGATTTAGCCAAAGCAGTTTACTAGTTAAATTTAAAAAGGTAGCTGGCTAAGACGTTTCTGAATACATATTAAAATGAAGTCAGTGGGAAATTTAAACGCTGCTGAATTGAGTATTTACACACCAACATACGCACCACTCCAAGACAGTCTAAATGATTTACAGGCTTTATAGGCTTTTGGGTATATCTGATGTATAAGAAATGATAAAACCACTGTTTCCACTAAACCCAAAAGTTAATAATTAATCCATTATAGTACATGAAATCCTCTTGTAATGACCGTCTGGTAAAGACACTTAGTAGATATTTAACAATCGAACAGCATATTTAGAAGAAAAAAAACAAATTTCAGAAGTAAACACGTAATAGAAAAATCATACTGATGCTTAAATATCACCACCGTCTGAAATGAAGCTGGTCTTTAATTCAGTCATACAAGAGCTTTCTTGCGATTACATTAAGCCAGTAGACGCTCATCTCAAACTCACGCTTACAAAAACCTGTCATTCGTGGTAACAAATGTATTGACAATCACTGCTCATAATACGGCTTTCGTTACAAATGAAATGAGAAAGGTTGAACTGATAGGTTTGAACATTTTAAAAGTTGATTGATACTCCAAAAGACACTGGTTAACTCAGAGCAGCTGGCAAAATGCATGAGAAGAAGCCTAAGGACTTTCTTGAAGACAGATATAATAAGTATTCATTCATTAACTCTTTGAATTCCACGAGGAACATAAAATTTCAGCAGCCTATCTACACTGCACTTGCATCGTTGTCATCACTTTCAACTAGCTCCAAGGATGCATACAAGCTTTCATTTTTCTTCAAACGATCTACGCCACGTCTCTTCTTGATACTATTTCGGGGTTCCACTCGAGAACCTGCCTTGCTTGTGACGTCACTCGACGGTGCCCTCTTGGTATGTCAAATCTATATCCGATTCTAGCTGCATATTTGTTGAGTGGCAGGCACTTGACTAGTTCACTGCCAGACTTCCTTGTCACTTATCCCTTTCTGAATGGCAACCTAACCTTCAGTATCTAGTGAAGGCACCCGCTGATGTAGTTCTCGATTAGCCACTTGGAATTGCTTCTGGAGATGCTTGCGACAAGTCTCTAAAACATGCAAAAGCACTGATTTGATATTACTACTGAAAATTCGAATCTCATTCTTTGTGCTGAATGTTATTCATATCCACACCCAACTCAGAGTAATGAACGAATTTATTGCTTTACCGAGTCCATCCTCACTGGTTTTCACACCTTCGACCATGAGACCTGTTGTTGAAACAGTGCTGCCGAGATAAATGAAACAGACGAATCCCTCCACGTTACTCCTGTTGATAGTGATTGGTGCCTATTGTTGATAGTTGGATTTCTTCATCAACTCTGTCTTCTCTATGTTCATCTGAAGTCCCATATTTGCTGCCTTTTTTGCCAACTTCCTAGCTTTTGATTTAGTGACTTTGAGGTTGTGTGACACAGACCATATGAGAAATACAGATCTTCTGCAGTCTCTGTGTCAGTCTAAGGTATACCTGTGTTTTCACTGACATTTTCAAAGTTGATGAAGATGCGATGGGTAGTTAGAATAGATGTGCAATATTTTTTTTGATTACAGCTTGATGCCACACCGTATTTTCAGTACAAGTATGGAATTTTCAGCATGGATATCGGTAGCCCGAAATTTGCAGGCCGACCATTGATATCGGGTGTGCGTCGGCAGGGGATCGAACCCCGGACCACGTGCATGGTCGGCGAGAGTCCTAACCACTGTGCCACTGACGCACATAACTTGTTCTTTCTGAATCCACTGTGTTCCAGACGGATTTTCGCATTTAGAACATGTTTTACTATTACCAGTATGATGCGAGTGAATATTTCGCATGGGGTGCGCAGCATCATGATTCCGGGTCATTTTTTACAAAGGCTTAATCACCCATCTTTGGGAGTTAGACAATGTAGTCTTTTCTTCAATCCCTGAGTACTATTTTATTCTTCCAAACCTTCTGCAGTGGTCGATTCAAGATTCCTCTGAAGTCATTAGCTGAGCGTTTTTCTTTGCTTCATCTCTCCGTCGACTGTCTCGCCTTCACTATCTTTCACTGGATCCATCTATGTTGATATCTCCTGGATAATAACCTGGTTATTTGGTATAATATTCCATGGATTCTCTCACCTGTATCCTGTTCTGATTCAAATGACAGTATATCATACTGGTATTTTAAATCTTTCCCATAACTCCTCTTTCACCCCCTCGGTGTGCTGTAAATCAGACTGAACACTTCCTTTCTTTGTTAATCTATGCAGTGGTTTACTTATTCCCTCACCATCCCTCTCCCCTTTACCAGCTTTCCGGTGTCTATAGTCCAGCTTTAATTCTTTGTCCTACCATTTTTGTTGTCTAAGATGTTTATACAGATTTCCTTCCAAGTTAATTTTAAAGTGTTCCAATGTTCTTACACACAAATTTCCCCAGTGATGTTCCCTAATTCCTTTGACTTTCCTCTAATGACTGCCGTGAAGATGTTTCTTGTAGCTCTGTGTTGAATATGAATTAAAGTCTGTCTCCAACGTTTATGAATCCTTTCAACTTGACTTTGAAGTCTCCCTGTATTAGACAGTTTGTTTGAAGCTGCACATTTTCCTCTTTTCCGTCGTGTGTCCATTGAGATGTGTCTTCACTTTCTTCAAATTGCGATGAAGCCTATCTGATTTTCTGTGTGTCTGTCTATTGAAACCCACGTTAACCTGTGGATGTTTTTGCGTTTGTACAAGCTGCCCATAGTCATCTGATCAGTAAATGCGCAGATCTCTGCAAATAGTTCTCCGTACTTGTTCTTCTCACGCAACGCCTCTCAACCAATGATAAGTTAGTTCCCTTCGTGTATGTGTCCTTGTCACCCATTAGAAGTTTGATGTTGCCATCTGGATGGAATCCTCTCCACTGCTGTTTAAAGTTGTCTGTGGAGGTCCTCATTCTTCTTTTCATCTGCTTTTTTTGTAGGTGAGTAGTGCCAAGTAACTGAAACTTCCTTTTAAGTTGAATCTTGTTGTCATGATCCTAGGGGAGATTCATCCTCACTGTGTATGAGACACTGATGCTGTTGGCAACACTAACACAACGACAATATGTGACATGAGATAACCGCTAAGGCCCAATTTGTCACACCTTATAGCTGCAAAGTGAGATGAAAGTTAGTAAAAGGAAAGACAAATCGAAAATAATGATGTCAACAATAGCAGAAACATTGAGAGGAAGAGAAAAAGATGTGGATAAGTGACACTACAGCTAATTATTATATAAACCATTGTGATTGCTTTTAGTGACCAGCTTACATTTTGGTGAACAATGTAATTATAGAGTAACACTCTAGCTTGTTCCATTTGAAATGTGGTTTGGACTTGTCAAATTTAAGATGGCGTCCGAGAATTGACTAGTGAAGACAGTTCATTTGCTCACATCAAGTATTACGCAACATAGAAACATTGACTGGCAAGTAATCAACAAACTGTCTTATAGTGCAGTTTCGCCATTTACATTCAGAAACAATTTCATTCACGTTTTTAGATTTTTGATAACTTTGTGGTACTTCGAATATATAATCTGAGATAGTTTAGAAACTAACTGAATATTGGTCTAGTCGTTAAAAATGTGAGTGAGCTTTACATATATACCTACTTCGGTTAGGAATCAACAGATGTAAACCAGAATGTTAAAGAGAAAGGTTGCATAATATGTACACTGTTGGTTTACCCTTGAGTGTAACATTATCATTATTGATTCTTTGGGTTGAGTAAAACGTCAGGTTGCAACTGCATTCGCTTCTCTGTCATCACTTTCAACTGGCGTCACCACTACCCACAAGATTTCATTTCCTTCTAACATAATCTTCTCTAAGTCACTCTCTGGGCTGCACTCGAGGACCTGGCGTTCGATATCACTTGAATGTCTCGTCGGAATAATACAGTCTTCAGCATTTGAAGTACAACATACTTAATATAGACACATGTCAACAAACTAAGACCTACCACAACTGCCTGTCCTATCAAATTGCCACACTTTACACCACAGATCGGTCAAATGTAAGATTCGGAAATGAATGTAATTATAATAGGAAGAATAAAACAAGGGGGATGAAATATACAACGATAAGATTTACACTGATGTAATACCAAGAAAGCGAAAATGAATTAACCACACTGAGAGAGATTCTGAGGAAATGCTTGAAATCTACCCCCACTAAAGCTGTTAGTCCAGAAAAAAAGTTGGACAAAGTGCACTTTGCACAGAAGAGAATCTCTGGACTTAAAAGTAAGGCCAAACAACAGAAAAAGTAAATAAAACCACGGTAAGTCTACAAAAAAACGTGACTATAAAAGTACAGAGAGGAAGACTAAATACATAATCATGTTTGACTATTACACCATTAAAAATGAATACACGTGTTACAACTTCGTTAAGCAGAGTAGTATTTCGATTTGCGCAAAGCATTAATTTGTGTTACTTGCTCAGAATCTTACGTTTAACTTCAGCTCTACTCGTCGTTTGCACAGTCTAGTAATCTGCTTCCAAAATAAACTAAAATGAACAACTGAACTCCTACAGCTGACTTAGCACAATGATGTGTAAATAAGAGGTGTAGCAACTGCAAGCATTATGGAGTAACGCCAGGCACCATGTCGATATAATCACTATTATTATTATTATTATTGTGTCCTTTAATTCCTACAGGAACATAGGGCTTCCGCCGTGCGTCTCCATTGCGTTCTGTTCTCTGCTAGAGTCTTCACCTGGCTCCAAGTTTGTCCACACGTTTTCATCTTCTCTTCACATGACCTCCTCCAAGCCACCTTTGGACGACCAACTCGCCGCTTCCCTTTAGGGTTCTACTCAAGGGCTTGTCTAGTGATGTCACTTGATGGTTTCCTCAGAGTATGGCCAATCCATCTCCATTTCCTCCTGCCTATTTGTTTCACAATCGGTTCCTGGTTGGTTCGCTCTCAAAGATCTCTGTTGCTGATCTTTTCTGGCCATCTGATCTCGAGTATTGAGCGAAGACAACTGTTAATGAAGGTCTGTAGTTTGTTTGAGATGCTCTTTATGACGCACTGGCCAAGTCTCTGATCCGTATAGTAGCACTGACTTCACATTGGAGTTGAAAATCCGGATCTCATTTTCATTTTCATGTTGAGTGCTGTTGACCTCCACACAGACTTGAGAGTAGTGAAAGCTTGTCTTGCTTTCCCTATCCTTTGCTTTGATATCCTCGTCAGTTCTGTCGGCCTGTAGTTGAAACGATGCTTCCCAGGTAGGTAAAGGAGGTTGTTTCTTTCAGGTTCCTCCAATTTATGCTGATTGTTGCCAGTTGTTGTTGTTGCTGTTGATGGTGTTGCCCAGGAATTTTCATCACCTCTGTTTTATCTATGTTCACCTGAAGTCCTATTTTTGATGCTTCTTCTGCTAACTTGTTGCTTTTCGCTTGCATATCTTCCAGTTTGTGGGAAATCAGACATATATCATCGGCGAAGTCCAGATCCTCCAAGTTTTTTGTGTGTGTCCATTTTATGCCTGTTTCCTCATTGCCCACTGTTTGTCGCATTATCCAGTCTACTGCAATCAAGAAAATCATTGGCGATAGTAGGCAACCTTGTCTTACTCCTGTCCTCACTTCGAAGGGTTCCGTAAGTTTCCCATTGTAGATTACTTGGCATGCAGCATTGCCGTATAGCTGTTGGATGAGATGCATTATTGTCGGTGGCACACCGTAGTAGCGAAGTAGTTTCCAAATCACCTCTCGATCGACGCTGTCAAAGGACTTTTCAAAGTCGATGAAGTTGAGATAGAGAGGTGACTGGCACTCTAAGCTTTGCTCAATGATGATCCATAATGTGGCGATCTGGTCAATGCATGACTTGTTCCTCCTGAATCCAGCCTCTTCCGGTCGAAGTTTTTCATCCAGGGCATGTTTGATTCTCTCCAGGATGATGCGGCTTAGTATTTTGCTTGGGATGGATAGGAGCATAATTCCGCGCCAGTTCTTGCATTGACATAGGTCTCCTTTCTTTGGTAGTTTGAATAAGTATCCTTTCTTCCAATCCTCGGGTACTTTGCCTTCTTTCCACACTTTCTCCAGTAGTGGCGTCATCAAGTCCGCTGTTGTCTCCGGGTCCGTTTTCAATGATTCTGCTGGGATTCCATCTGGTCCTGCTGCTTTTCCAGCTTTTAGCATCTTGATTGCCTTCAGGACTTCTGATTTTGTCGGGGGTTTGCTGTTCACTGGTAGCTCTGTCTCCGTTGTTGGTATTGCTGGGCGCGTTGTAGGTGGTGGTCGATTTAGAAGTGTTCAGCCCAGTGTTTCCTTTGCTCCACTTCTTTGTTGAGTGGCTTTCCAATGTCATCCTTCACCGGCTTGATTTGTGTCAAACGTTTGCCCGATAGGTACCTAGTAGTTTGGTAGAGTGTTGCGAGGTCTCCTTTGCCTGCACCTTGTTCTGCCTCACTTGCCATGGTTTCATAGTACTTTCTTTTGTCTTCTCTGGCACTCTTCTTTACTCTTTTGTTCAGTGTCTTGTAGCTTGCGTTCAAATCCTGTTTTTATTGCTCATCGGTGCACTGAAGAATCTTTTGTTTCACCATCCCTCTCTCTTCTATTAGTTTCCAAGTGTCCGTAGTGAGCCATTGTTTGTCCTGTCTCTTCTTTCTGCCTAGAACTTCCATGCATGTTTGACTCCATACTGTCTTCAAGTTGTTCCAGTGCTTTTCGACGCTGACCTCTTCGCCAGTGTTGATTTGTGTCTCGGCTTTGTCTTTTATACTTGCAGTGAAGATGTCCTTTGTGTCCTGGTCCTTCAGTTTTTGAGTGTTGAACTTGGCTTGTGGCCTATCTGCAGCTCTTGATTCTCTGAAAGCTTTTAATTTGATTTGGATCACTATAGTGCGATGATAAACATCACTACTAGACTGTGAATTCCTATGCCATCAGTTAGTTGAATCGTAACTAGAAAATGACACATACACAAACAACGCCATAAATTGCAAAACTTTTATACTCTGAAATAGTGTAACAGGCACTATCAACAAGAAAAAATAGAAGTTCTTACAAACAGACTTACATGGCCTTCCAAAACTAACTGACGAAAAAATAATATGTCTTCATTAAATGGTCCATTCACTTGTCCAGTTTCTCTTTCTAAAGCCAGCATGGAGATAGCCAAATCACGTTTTTCCAAAAACTCCAAAATTAATTTGATAACATCGGCTTCATAGATAGTTAACTGTACTTTCTCATGTTTAGGCACGCTCATTCTTAGAAAATTGTATCTGTGATAAAAAACAATTCTTATTACTGTACATGCCGCAACACTTCATTAACAAAACATTTATTCTGAATCAAAACAAAATAATAAAATCACTTTAATAAACATATCTGGATAGAAACACTGTCAGCACAGGACCCAAAATTACTGTGCAGCCATTCAAGTTGGCACACCTTATACCTACACATTAATTTTGAAAAGGCAGACAGATGAATTAAAATTACTGGGGATAAAGAAAGTGAGGCAAACGACAAAATATTGCATAATATACACAAAACACCAGAACTCTGACATGATTCATGCAAAAGCATTATTAATTAAATGTGTGATTGCAAAACTAACAAACTAGAGAAGTTAAGGTACCTGACGCTTCGATATCATTGAATGCATAATAACTTGATTGCTAACAACTCACTCTAACTCAGGAGATTAAGTTCTGTTTATTTTTTCAAAGTGGGCTAATATGTCACTTTTTGATAGTCCAACCGAAACAATGCGATACAACAGACCAGACTGCTAAATCATTTGAAGTTAGGATTAAGATACTTCTGAATGCTCCCGTATTGCCAAAAGTGGTTAGGTGTGCCATCTACAACATTTGCACCTTTACTCAGATCAAAAGCATACAGATTTATTCATTCCACATCTCCACGACTCCTATAAAGTGCTTTGAATTAAATTGTCAGCTAAAAAGTCTTTCATGTGCACTTTTCTAAATATCTTATGGCGCTAACGTCCAGCTTAGCTGATTTCTAAGTCTCATTAAGTGCTGGGACCAAAACTGCACTATTTGACAGGGTCTCCACTAACAGTCGTTCATGTATTATTACGTTTAGTTACACTGAAGTAATGACTGATCAAAGCAACGATACCTGTTCGCTACCACTGCCAACTCATAGGCTGCAGTTGTTGCAACTAGAGATGAATTTTACCATTGACAATGCCAGCAGACCATTTTGAATAGTGGTTTACCTAGCATATTAGACCTGTATTCTCTACCTAAAAGGTTTCAACAGACTTAATCACGTGGTTAGACAGAAAATCACCCTAACTTATTGCCAATTTTCGAAATCGTTCAACTTTGACAGAAGTCCTGAGTTTGTTGGAGTTAAGTCCCTCTCAACAGATTTTTCCCTTGCCCGGCAATCAGTTTCAGTTATTATGCGAAGGCCCACTAACTAGTTACCCAGGCTGAATCAAATGGAGCAAGACCCAAACCTAAGATCCTTAGAGTGAGAGAACAGTGCTCAAGGCAAACAGGAAATCTTCAGTATCGAAAACCTTACTGAAATCAATAAGAAGAACACTACCACGAAAGTTAGCATTGAATACTGGTGTCCAGTTTTCTCTAGCTATAAAAGTGACTGGCGAAATGAACATGACAAATCCTCAAACCGTACACTGACATGACAAAAAACATATTTTCATTGATACCTTGTAGAATAGTAGCATGGGGAATAATGCCCAGTAGTTTAACAGTTGTGCTGTATAGCATTACATGTAGCGACAGTTAGTAACTTCATACCTCCAAGAACTAATAAGTGTAGTCTTTTTGTGATGTTAACTGGATCAGTGAAATACTCCATTCAGTGTCATACGCCGATTCCTGTCTTCACAATATGAGTCTAAATTGCTTAATTTCACTGGAATGAATAAATTCCATAACTTTTTTACGCTTAAGAAAAAAATTTTCACCTGATTCTTTCTCCACTGATCTATGCAGAAAAAGACGTACACATTCAGTGGAAAGCGACAAGTCACAACTAAGTGATGATTTTATGAGTATAATACGCGATATTTACACGGCATAAAATTGAGCAAGCTTAGAAATGAATGTATGCAACCATCTTCAACCACAAGCACCTGCGTTCCATCTGTCCACTTAGATAGTACAATATAAGTAACATTGAGGTTAGGCGGCAGTAATGTTAGGTGAGTGGGGAAATCCAGTGGATGAGATCAGGTTGTGAAGATGCATTGATTGAGATGGGTAGGACATGTGCTACGCATATCCAGCCCTCCAACGTCTTCCACGCCGAGAAATGTTAGCTGATATAGGATTGGAGAAGTTAGGGGTGGTCAAACGGAAACATGGAATGAATCCATCAACTGTTTGGCCGTTGCTTCGTATCACGTAAGGCAGTTGTGGTCTATCTGGCTGGTATCTTTGAGACTCTATGTGAGAATCAATGGATGTAGACTGTTGGTGAAACGGCTGAGAATTCTTCTTAATAATACAGATGTATTCACTCTTTGTGATCTCACAAATCTATGAAAGTGTCATTATTCTGTTCCACGTTGGTTTCCGTTCATTTGTGTGTGTCCAGCGAGAAGTGTGGCGACCAGGACTTGTTGACTTAAGTTTAAAGCTCTACATTTAATACTCACTCAGTTATTACATACAACCACTAAATCTTCATGATCTCCAACTGAGCTGTTATGAAAACAGTTAACTCCTGATAGCTGAGATGTCACATCTGCCTTTCAGAAAAGTCATCTTTTAATGATGAACACAATAGCCATCCTCAGTTCATCTACTACTGTATGTAGCTCTTGAAACTTATGTTTGAATGTTACAGTTGTCAGTGTACATCACCTGTAAATCCCTCATACTGAGTGATCTATCCAAACAGATCACTGGTTTCTAACAACTAATTATTCCAGTTCACATTGTTAGCTTTTTTTCCTTTCATTCTGTTTCGGAAACCAATGAATTCTGACAAACGGATCAAATCAGATGAGTTTGAATGAGTTAGTAACTGATTTCGTTCTTCACAGTATTATACAAATTTTGGAAATTCTTGTTATTTACGAAAACCATCAATGGGAATTTCAGTAGACCTGACCTGCGAGTACCAATAATTAGATGTAGTATGACTATATCTCACCAGTTTGTTATTTGGTAGTAAATGCACATAACCTACAAACTTTATTAATGCAAAATGTTATTCTTTGAGTCCCATCTATTAACTGTGAATATTTTTGACCCCCTTATTTATTGCGTATATCATGTAAAGTATCCAACGTTTTTCTAAACTGCGAATACAATCCGCCTTTTTAGGTGTAGTCTACTGTTGACGAATTAAAATTGCCCACAACAATATAGAAGAATTAGTTCCGTATCATCTTCCGAATTCAATTTTCCTTGTGTAATCACGTTCATATTTGCTTTATTTGTTTTTAGTATATGCGGCAACTTGAACAGGGTTCATCTACAGAATTAACAAGTGATTTTTCTATTTAGTAATTGTGTATACTAAAATCCTTGACACTTCAGTCTCAGTGATCTGGAGGGCTACCTTAAGATGCAATATGAACCACAGTGACTACAAAGTCATACCATTACGCCAGTAACAATGTTGTCAACTGGAACTAGATATACACTACGACGGTTTACAACATCTGGCTTGTTTTTTAATTTTCGGAGTGCTTAATAAAACCATTAACAAACTCAAGAGATCTGAACGCTTTTATTAGAGCAACTAATATTTTCGTACTGTTTAAGTTGTATGTAGTTGACAATAACCTCAGAAACAAAACGAGCTCGTATTATTCCGCAAATATGCTCGTTTTCTTTTAGTCCCAACTTTCATCACTTTATGTTACGTTCAAAAAAGAAAAGAGCACATAGAAGAATGTTCATCACTGAATCCATTTTTCAGGCATATCTGATTTGCACAGCAAAATTTATACTTGGATGCATCAACTACTTTTAGCAGCTCACCCATAAGGCTGAGAGCAAGTACAGGCTTCAGATAGTCCTACAACAAGGCCGGCATTTAGACGTAGAAAAGCACATACCATCGTTACAGTTAGTGACTGCTAACTTCTTAAGAGCGATTTTTCCGGCAAATACGTAATCTCAGAGTACGACGATACCGTATGAATACTTAACGCCAAAACGTCTTCCCCCACACCACAACCACGAACGAACCTCACAGCAGTTTTCAAGTTCAAGTTTAGCCTAAAAACGGTGGTGATAGATGATCCTATGTTCTCAATCTACTCAGTGTTTTTGCATGACTTTCAAAGTATCTGAAAACATCACAGGGAAACCCAGTAACACACCATTTTTAATAATAATCCTATCCGAAGAATCGACGGCAGCTCTAATATCAAAAAATACCGACTTTTGAGCCACATTACGTGATACGGTATCCCAGCAATCAACGCAGTATTAACACTTGATAAATACATCAACGACGTGGACGATCTGGTCTTAGCGTCCTGTTAGGCAAACAAGCCGAAAAGCACTATTTCTATCAAAAAACTGTTAAGTGCAAAGGTTGCATGTGAGAGGTAGATATAATATCCACAGCCATCTGCTGCGCGATCACAGTCTTACACCACAGATGTCCGAAGGAGTATACTCCATCATTCTATTTATCGCATAAATTTGCCAATTATATACTTACGGGTTCAACTCTACATACTGACATATAAACTACTGTTTTAGGTGTCCAGAAGTAAAGAAGATCAACAGTAACACTATTTCCAGTCCTAAAATAAACTGATATCCACTCTCAAAACACAATTAAATACAGATAACCAAATGGTAGTACATCGGATAATTATTCTACTTACAACCGTTTGCATTGATAGATACTTCACATCTGAGCCTTATTCTGCATGTATCTTGACTACATGCATATCCAAGATGTCTCTATAATTGGTTTTAAGAATGTAATTACACATAAGTCCGAGAAATGCATTTTAAACTATGATTTGGAAATTATACATTCTCCTGATAATTTTCAAACATCATGAATCTCAGAAAAAATTCTAGCCAAAAACGACAAACGGCAATAAAAACAACCCACGAAAATGGAATATTTACATTACAAAACCTGTACAACCATCAATTCACCACACAAAACACTAAAACC